CCCCCTCCTATTCGAAATGACCCGCCCCCCACTTCAGTTACCAGTATTGCTACCAAGAAAAAGAAGCAACAAGAGGCTAAGCAAGCAACAATTAGGTATATGTATATGCTCTTTACACATGATCCTGTTAGGGTAAATAATGATCCTTGTGATGTACTTTATGATATTGCTGGGTTACTTAATGATCCCAGTAGGTTTAAAAGGAACGAGAAACCTTGTTTATTCGCTTTTAAATTTGTACCGACCCGCGGCCGTACCTCTCCTTTAAAATGGTTGTACACTCCCATAATCTATACTTCTAAATTCATGAGCGGGAAATTTATGAGAGTTTCGTTGAACAAAACTCCTGAGTTTCCTTTTTGGGGTGTAAACATTTACGTAGATTTTAATTTCAGAAATCAGAAAACAAAAAGAGAAAATAAAGAAAATATGTCATATCAACAATACTAGTATCTACAAAACTGCCTGACCCCATTCATGACACCGGGTTTCCGATACTGGGTTTCATTACCATACTCTGTCTTAAGTTTCGGGCTTTGGATGGAGAATACTTGAGAATACCCTGAGTCCTGACCCAAAATGAGTTCTGTTTCTAATAACCTCGTTTAACCAAGTATTATGATATAATTATACGGTCCCACCCTGAACTAAGCAGAGGAGAACTGTATTCAGTTTCTATCATTCAGCAGTCTTTAAACTTACAGAGTTATCTTTTTACTTTTTTCTTTAAAAAGCATGATTAGATAATAAAGTATAAAAGAGAAAAAACAAAAAATTGATGGTTAAACGGTTAATTTTGGATCAAAGTTGACAGCTTGCTGGGACAAGGACCAAACAGTTGGATCAGCGTGGTTACCTCCTCTTTCTCCTGATTATTCTATGTTTNTGATATTTATGTATTATTACAAAACATCTCTATCTACAGTGAAACCCTTAATAACGAATACATCCGAAGAATTTATCAAATGTCGTCCTGACAATTTTTCAATGAGTTTTATACTATATTACGTAATTTTCAGTATATGCGAAAATAGATAAATAGCCATGAATATGCGGGAACAGTGAACTTGACTAGGCTAATTTATCCACTAAACATAGAGTACATAGATACATAGAGTTCTCGATGTAAACATATATACTGAGTTATCAGTAAAGACACAGAGAGTACACACATAATAAGTCTGATACACCTACTTAACACAGAGTACTGAGATTTACAGTTTTAATAATGTAAACAACGATAATACACTTATCCACTTAACATAGAGTATATCGATATACAGAGTTATCAATGTAGACACAAAGAACATACATATATAGAGTCTTCAGGCTAATATATCCCCTAGAACATATCATATAGTACATAGAGTACATAGAGTACATATATCTCATTGAGTTGGTCAATAAAATATATTGTTTAGGCAACATTATTACCCAGAGGGAGGGTGGGGATGGGTAATCCTTTTCTGTGCACTCTGCGTTCAGGTAAGTTATAAAATTTTATATTTCATATTATTTTATTGTTGTTAAAAGTTATGGAAACGACTTGCGCAATTCCTAAACATCATTAGACAGGACCGGAGAAACATAACAAAGAACACATTTACTTGAAGATAGTCAACACATTGTTAACAAATCTAAATGTTTCCAATAATTTTCTAGGAATTAATAACAAATATCTATCAGTCTATCTGTCTATCTGTCTATCTGTCTATCTGTCTATCTGTCTATCTGTCTATCTGTCTATCTGTCTCTCTGTCTATCTGTCTATCTGTCTATCTGTCTATCTGTCTATCTGTCTATCTGTCTATCTGTCTATCTGTCTATCTGTCTATCTGTCGATCTATCTATCTGCCTATCTGCCTATCTGCCTATCTGCCTTTCTGTCTATCTGTCTATCTTTCTATCTATCTATCTGTCTATCTGTCTATCTGTCTATTTGTCTATCTGTCTATCTTTCTATCTGTCTATCTGTATATCTGTCTATCTGTCTATCTGTCTATCTATCCATCTGCCTATCTGTCTATCTGTCTATCTGTCTATCTGTCTATCTTTTTATCTGTCTATCTGTCTATCTGTCTATCTGTCTATCTGTCTATCTGTCAATCTGTCTATAAGTCTATCTGTGTATCTGTGTATCTGTCTATCTGTCGATATATCTATCTGCCTATCTGCCTATCTGCCTTTCTGTCTATCTGTCTATCTTTTTATCTATCTATCTGTCTATCTGTCTATCTGTCTATCTGTTAGAGTGATGATTTGAAATCTCCATATTGCACTTGTATCTATCTATCTGATGATCTTGATTTTTTCTCCTTGAAATATATTTCCATCATGACAAAACAGTTTTATAAAACAGATGAGAGTCATTCAACCAATTATTCGACATTTTGATTTTTCAGACAGATATCATTCATTCATTCTTAGATCAATCAATCATCCTGGTATTCAATCGATAAATACAGATATCATTCATTTATTCATCGAGCAATCAATCAGGCGATCAATTGATCAATACAGATATCATTTATTTATTCATTCATACATCATTTAATCAATCAGGCGATCAATCGATCAATACAAATACCAATCATTTATTCAATCAATTAGTTTGATTTCTCAGACAAATCTTTATAATGCACCAATCAATTAATAAATTAATTAATTAACTAATCAACTGTTTAGCTGAAAACAAAGGCAATGTTAACAGACATGATGTTTACTCTTTTTCATATTAATGAAGCAATTGATATTTATGTATTATTACAAAACATCTCTATCTACAGTGAAACCCTTAATAACGAATACATCCGAAGAATTTATCAAATGTCGTCCTGACAATTTTTCAATGAGTTTTATACTATATTACGTAATTTTCAGTATATGCGAAAATAGATAAATAGCCATGAATATGCGGGAACAGTTTTAAAGAGCTCCATATAATGATTTAATTAAAAAACTAAATATCTGCAACATTCCATTATCAGAAAGTGAAGAATACGACATTTGATGAATTCTTTCGATGTATTCGTTATTAAGGGTTTCACTGTATATCTATACAGTAAAAACCAGAAATCTCTTGAATATGAAGACGACTTTTAGACTCAAGTCCTGGCTTTGAAAAGTCCAATGAACATGAGACACAGAAGATGTGCAGTGTAAACACTAAACCCATTTAACTCAATAACTGATTCAATAAGTTACTCATTAAGCTTTTAAACAGTATCAAATACGTTTAAGTATTGCTTTAATATCGTCTTCTTATTCCAGAGTTTTCTGAATCTCACCTCACTGTATGCATCTGGATCTCAGTGTTTGCATAACTTGTTTCTAGGTTCTTAGTCATGGACTTCAGCTGTCCTTCGGAGTTCTACTTCTTTCAATAATAAGGAGATGGGGGTCAGAGTACACCGCTGGTGCAGGTAGGCTTTTTCCAAATACGCGCTTATACTTTATAAACAAATCAATAGTTTCTATTTATCCTATTGATCATAATAGAAGGAGACGATTCATTTGATGTACTGTCCGTTGTGTCGTGAACAGGGAGTATGGAATAGAAGGGAGATATAACTGACGCGGTTTGGCCTACCATATGATTACATGCTTTGCAGACGGGTACTCCATTTGTATATGAAATATTCAGAATAGGTTATTGTATACGCAGTTAATGTACATCAGACAAATATTTCTTATTCAAATGGAGTACCCGTCTGCAAAGCATGTAATCATTTGGAAGGGCGAACCGCGTCAGTTATATCTCCCTTCTATTACTTACTCCCTGGTCGTGTATGTCCACTGAGCCCGAAATTTAAAAGAGTATCGTTGAACGAAACTCCCAAGTCTTTCTTTTTGGGGTCTTAACGTTTGTGTAGAATTTGATTTCAGAGATTCTAAAAAGATTGAGAATATAAACAAACAAACTGAATAAAGTAATATTTCATAACAAAATGTTGATATTCACAAAACTGCCTAAACCCCATTCGTAAAACCCGGTTTTCAAAACTGGTTTTACGAACGATGCCCTGTCTTAAGTTTTGGGCTCGGTACAACTTACTCTAGCTACCGAGAAGTTCAAATGAAATTTTCATTGACCCGTACACTAAAATATACAGTGAGAACCAGAAAACGAAAACTGTTGAATAGGAAGACGAGATTAAAGCATTAATCAAACTTGAGTCTTAAAGTCGTCTTCCTATTCCATTGTTTTCTGGTTCTCATTTTTTAACTACGAACATTTTGTTATAGAATTTTTAGCTTACGTCACCCTCAAAAAAGTTCAACCAATTTGCCGTTTCCAGCTATGGCTAAAATAAATATTTGAGCGAAGAGCTTTATTCTATAGAAACTTCCACTAATAATTTAACTAATGATTATTAAAAGTTCCCAAATATACTTTTAAATTATATTGTTTGATAATCATAACACATTACCAAGATACCTGGCCCTAAGTGCCCCCCTCTTTCCCTCCCAGTTAAAGATTGATGGGAGGGGTTTACCCCTTCATATTTCAATGTAAGCCCCCCTGGTGCGCCTGTATACGGGTATTGATATTATCATTATAGCATGTGCCTTACTACACTTGCGCCAGGTTATAGAAATACATTTTGATAAATTGACATACAAAATAAAGTTGTTCCTTATTACACTTGCGCTAGGTTACGGGGATATGTTTTAATAAACTGACATACAATACAAAGTTCCTAATTACATTAGTGCTAGGTTACACGGTAACGTTTTAACCCTATCCTACAGGGTGTCCCAAAAAACATGGGAATTCAGTGACGAATTCGATATCGTCTTTATGCTAATTCATAACAAAGACGATATCGAATTCGTCACTGAATTCCCATGTTTTTTGGGACACCCTGTAGCTTGGGTACATGAAAACCAGGGGGGAGTCAATTTGCCCCCCCCCCTATAAATCCCATGTTTGATGTCCGGATAATTTACAAAAATTTCTTTGCAAAACTTGTTTAATTTGTTTCCGTATGTCAAAGGCTTTCCAAAAGCTAAAAATTTTCAAAGTCTGACAACTGAAAGTGGGTCAAAACAAAGATTTAGTTTGTTACTGGAAAAAGTAGTCATTCAGACAGTGTGCCTGAGGGCTCAGGCAGTTAAAATAAAAGCCACGTTTAATTCTAAAGGGAGGGATATGGATTTAGGAGAAGATAGACAATTTCAACAACCTCAGACCAATACTTTTTGAGTTATGTAAAAAACTACAAGGGGGGAGGGGTCGCAGGAATAGGGTTAATAAACTGAAATACAATAAAAGTTCCTAGGGGTCGGGAGTATCCATGTCGATGAATGATAATACTCCAGCTAGTATATAATATATGGTGTATACAATATACATCTATTGTCTTAACCCTGACTTTGTATGCAAGGCAAGACTTGGGAGGCTTGAATTGCAAAATATTATGAATTTAATGTTTAAAATTCATAAGCCAGAAAGTATTGAAGGCTGGGTAATGTATAGGCTGATGTTAAAGTTTTGAAGATAATCGTTAAAGAAAAGAGGAATTTGCTCGCCAAGAAAACCAAAGTTGGTATAAAATCAATTTCTTCATGAAATATCGTTGTACCTATAATATATGATACATTTCTGAGCCATGATACAGTGAGAGCCGGAAAACCGCCGAATGAGATGTAATCCTTGTTCTATATTTTACTTTATAACGGTTTTATAAAAAACAACTATTGCAAGTGAAATACTCCGAAAATTCTAAATACTTTTTTATAGATTATTTTAGCAGTCATTTTCATGATAAGAAAAAGACGATAATTTCACTGTTTTGTGATTCTAACAGAAGATATATTGTATACAGGGTTACCCACAAAGGATGAGACTTCTGAGGAAGATTGTACAGATTATACTGACTGTTTCCAAATACTACTGATTCCGCGCAGCTTTAAACTTATCACTAACTAAAGAGCTATTAAACAGACGATATTTAAGACAGCCGGCTTAATTTTACATTGGGCTTGTTAAAGTCCTTGTTTTTCAGGTCTTCTTTAAAGTCTCATCCGTTGTGAGTAACCCTGTATCAGGATGTATCTCTTAAAACTTAAAAGATTGGATTGAGTACAATCTTGTCCTATGAATTTAAATTGTGATTATTAATCAAACGACCCCCCCCCCTTTCTCCCAATCCTTCTTTATTAACCCCCACCCCACCCCACCACCGAGTAAAAAAATATGATATCGGAATATTTTCAAAGAACCTTGCTTTTTTGGCATGCAAATTTTTATATTTGCGAAATACTACATTCTTTTTATGATTCAATCCTTTATATATTCCCTATTTTTTAAAATCTTTTTTTCCCTATGCTCGATCAAATATGATTTGGGACACCCTGTCGGTTGATGATATTTTATAAATATGATGTAGGACACCCTGTAGGTTGATGATATTTGATAAATACGATGTAGGACACCCTGTAGGTTGATGATATTTGATAAATACGATGTAGGACACCCTGTAGGTTGATGATATTTGATAAATACGATGTATGACACCCTGTAGGTTGATGATATTTGATAAATACGATGTAGGACACCCTGTACGTTGATGATATTTGATAAATATGATGTAGGACACCCGGTAGGTTGATGATATTTGATAAATGTTTGCAGAATTCTTCTGCTCTATATTTCATGAATCGTGACATCATAATGGTACAAGGGGAGAACACATGGGGTGACAGCTGGGGGTCCATTGGTATTTAAATCATTGATTTATCAATTCTATTTGAGTTGATCGAGCAAGTTTTAAATCAATTATTAAATCAATTGGCAATATTAAACCTTTGAATCCAAGGGACCAAAGGAAGCTTTAATTTGATCGTATTTTAGTTTCCTTGGAATCGTTAATATATTTGAAAATGTGCAAAAACTGGTTTTTGTGTTATTGTTGTTGATTATACAGGACTTCTATTCACATCCTTTGCTAGTCAGTTTCATCAAATAGTCATCAGTTACGGTTTTATAGTAGGTATTCTATACATAGCCTATTTTTCTATCTATACACATATAAATATATATATATCTACCTATCTATCTAGTTATTTACAGTCTGTCTACTTATCTATCAATCTCTATGGTCTATCTATTTATCCTTCTTCAATTCTGTCTTCAATATTTATATATATCTTTCTGTCTGTATTCTACTACTATTTTCTATGCGTAATACTGCGTAAAATAATATTATTTGATTTGATTTGATTGACTTAAATATTTAGGTCTAGGAGTTAGTTTTGTTCGTGATGCATCAACCCTAATGGTGGCGCAGTATTTTAAACGTAAAAGAGAACTTGTAGAGGTAAAACTAAATTAAAAACAGTTAAAAAAAAAATTAGAAAAAACAGTTAAAAATAAAAGATAAAACAGAAATAGTTTGGGATTTCTCAAAAAGTTGGAATAAATAGTTTGGGTTATTGTTGTAGCTTTGAATGGGATTGGTATTATTATTATCAGTGCATTCATCTAGGTTGTCGTTGTAGCCGGAAGTAATTAGGATATTATTATTATTATTGTATTCATCTAGGTTGTTGTTATAGCTGGGAGTGGGTTAGGTATTATTATTATTATTGTATTCATCTAGGTTTTTGTTATAGCTGGGAGTGGGTTGGGTATTTTTATTATTATTGTATTTATCTAGGTTGTTGTTATAGCTGGGAGTGGGTTGGGTATTATCATTATTATTGTATTTATCTAGGTGTTTTTATAGTTGTGAGTGGGTTTGGTATTATTATTATTATTGTATTTATCTAGGTTGTTGTTGTAGCTGGTAGTGGGTTGGGTATTATTATTATATTGTATTTATCTAGGTGTTGTTATAGTTGGGAGTGGGTTGGGTATTATTATTATTATTGTATTTATCTAGGTTGTTGTTGTAGCTGGGAGTGGGTTTGGTATTCTTATTATTATTGTAGTTATCTAGGTGTTGTTATAGTTGGGAGTGGGTTGGGTATTATTATTACTATTTTATTTATCTAGGTTGTTGTTGTAGCTGGGAGTGGGTTGGGTATTATTATTATTATTGTATTTATCTAGGTTGTTGTTGTAGCTGGGAGTGGGTTGGGTATTATTATTATTATTGTATTTATCTAGGTTGTTGTTGTAGCTGGGAGTGGGTTGGGTATTATTATTATTATTGTATTTATCTAGGTTGTTGTTGTAGCTGGGAGTGGGTTGGGTATTATTATTATTATTGTATTTATCTAGGTTGTTGTTGTAGCTGGGAGTGGGTTGGGTATTATTATTATCAGTGTATTCATGAGATCAACACTAAAGGAGGTCGGATGGAGATTAGGCCTTCAAGCTATTACAGGTTCAAGCTCATTCATCCTGAAAAAAAACTAATTCTTCAAATTTGTCCAATTTCTATTTTTTAGTTTTTTTATTCAGTACACTTTACTGTATAGTACAATATACTGTAATTTTTATATATCTTAAACAGTAACCTGCTTTACAGTACAAAATACTGGGAGTGGTACAAAACGTCGATTATCAAAACGTCGAATAATAAAACGTTGATGATACAAAACAACGACAGCTATAAAATGTCGAATAACACACCGTCGAAATTACAAAACGTCGACTGCTAGAAAACGTCGACTACTAAAAAACGTCGATTGCTACAAAACATCGAATAACAAATTTAAAAATTTTTAAATCACAATTATTAATCAAAACTCCGCCGAAATTGTTTCTTAAATATGCAGCAAAAAAAACACTTTCAATTCAAATTACGATCAACGCAGCCCATCCTAGCCGCAGCGCTCGGCCCAGAAATTGTCTTAACCTATCCTAACCCATCATAATCTAACATTTTCTAACTGTCGACATTTTGTAGAAGTCATCGTTTTGTGGTAGCCGACGTTTTGTATCATCGACGTTTTTTTATTCGACATTTTGATAATCGATGTTTTGTGCCCACTCCATGTACTGTACATTCTACAACGTACTGTAAACTGTACATGGTATACCTAGGTGTATGTACAAGTTGTTCTATTCTGGGGATCTTCTATAGATCAGCCACCCTCTATCATCCACAGAGAAGAGCAATTCTTCATCTTAAATCTCAAAAACGAAAAATAAAGGTTAGCATGTGTTCACCCCCCCCCCCACATTTTAAAATTTATTTTTATTTTCTTTTTGATTTATTTTGGAGAATATGTCTCATATATCATTATTGAAATAGTTTTCAAGCTTAATCTGAAAATTGTTTTTGAAGCAAATTTTCAAATTTAAATATTAAAAGTTTTAAAGTTGACATCACCCCCCCCCCATTCCCTTCATTTAATCCTTTAATTGGATGCTCTCATGTAATATTGCATTTTTAGTTGCTTGTTTTCAAATTTAAATGTTTATGGAGAAAAAAAAACATTTCACTTCAATAAGGTTAGATGCTATAATCAAAAGGGAAATTGCCATTTTTCTAGAAATCAAAAAATCTATAGAAGAAATCTAGAATTCTAAAAAAATATAAAAAATAACAGCTTTTAGAAATAAAAATAATAGATTTATTTGTAATGTTTAAAAAAGGCTTGATGGGTTGTTTAAAAGGGAAAGGTTGAACGAGTATATAGTAGTATATAGTATATAGTAGTATATAGTAGTATATAGTATATAGTATATAGTAGTATATAGTATATAGTAGTGGACTGAATCAGACATGATTTCTTTTGTAAACGGAGACTTGAGACTGACGTATTATTACGTCTAGTTCTTTTAAAAAGAATAGTTTAGGATTAGGAAAATTATAAAGGAGGGTCACTTGAAATTACGTCTACAGTCCCTTTAATAACAAGAAAAGGTCCATTTAATGGTTATGAGAGGATGAGAGGATGAGAGGATAGAAGAACTAAGTATTTTCAATTTTCCTTTATTTATAAAGTTCATGGTTGCTAAAAGATAGATTAATATTTAACCTAATTAAAACTTGAAATGAAAAGACAATATCTCACAATTCGCATAACCTTTAAACTTTTAACTATATTAATTTAACCCTATATAACATGGTCTATATCCAAGAAATGCATGGGGAGTCCCCCCCCCCCTCTCATGGACTTTAGAAATTAGGCCATATATCGTTGTAACATTTTGACCTATATAACTTTAATACTAAAATTTTCAAAACTAAAAAACTTAAAAAAATTATTGTTAAGTCATCAAAATTGTTTATCGAAAAAGCTTTTAAAAAAATCTTACTTAAAATATTTTTCACAAATTATCACTCTTTTTTCATCACTTTCAAGTAAATTCAGATTTTTTTTAAATCTAAGATGCAGGATGCATTTCAATGCAAAGATAAATGTTTATATTTCTAAAGTGTTGCCATTAACGTGACGTCAACATAAGATTCAAGAAAAAGGAAAATAACATTTTCAATGCAGATTGATAAAATAATTGTGCTGCATTTTAAAGAAAGGGGTCCGCTAAGGTTTAGAATTGAAGAGGGTTCACCCAGACCGAAATATATTTTTTTAAATGTGGAACTTATATCTACTTTATTTAAACACTATGCGGTTTGGATCATCACCAAATTTAAAAAAAAACGTTTTCCTAGTTTACATTGGTTAAATAAATACACTCAAGCCCATTTTTATTTTCTATGCAGTCGTAATAAACCCAATATATAGGGATGCACACGTGGGTAAATACACCAATAAAAATGAAATAAAAAAATCTATAAAAATTCTAAGTTGCTTAAAAAAATTTTAGTTCTGATAATATCTTCATTATTTTTGAAGCAAGAAATGATCTTTCAGAGAAATTATGAATAAAAATCAGGTGGGATGATAGTTCTCTATCTGTGTGCTTTCTGCTCATTTGTCTTTACAGTACACTTACAACTGAGCCCAAAATTTTAAAGAGTATCGTAGAACTCCCGAGTTTCTTTTTTGATATCTTAGCAATTGTGTATTTTTTGATTAAAGAGATTTTAAAAAATGGAGTATATGAAGAAATGAAATAAAAAAATATTTCATAACAAAATATTAATATCCACAAAACTGTCTAACCCCCTTCATGAAACTCGGGTTCCAAAACGGGTTTTCATAACGATACCCTGTCTTAAGATTTGGACTCGGTTTACTAATAATGATATACTATAAGTTAAGCCAGAATCTCCTTATAATAATCAAATATGCAGTACGCTCTCGGTATAGTTCAAGGCCGATTATAATTAATAAAAGAATAACGTACATCATCACTCTATACACTATAACCTCGTTGATACAAATTAACAGCTTTTAGAAGCGAAACCACAGATATCTGATTCATACCGGTGTGAATTGGATATGCGACTCGGTGGAACGCTCTTGGAACGCTCTTGGAACACTCTTGGAACACAATTGGAACACTCTTGGAACACCCTTGGAACACTCTTGGAACACTATTGGAACACTCTTGTAACACTCTTGGAACACTTTTGGAACACTCTTGAAACACTCTTGGAACACTCTTGTCATTCCTTATACTAGAGCCGTGCCCAGCTCTAAATTTATCTTGTTATATAAATATATGAGTATATATATATATGTAATATGTCTGTAATATATCTATTTATACATTTGTCTGGTCTATAAGTAGGATCCTTAGGGGATATTAATTATGTACATCTCTCTATAGTAGTATATAGTATATAGTAGTATATAGTAGTATATAGTATATAGTATATAGTAGTATATAGTATATAGTAGTGGACTGAATCAGACAAAAACCTCCACCTTTGGTTCATCCCCTTCATGAGAAGACCCTCCCCCCTTCGTGTAAAGATTTCACCTCCTGATCTCAAATTTAGAATTTATGGTATTGTCGTCTTCTAGTGCCAACAATAAATCTACGAAACAGTGTACACATGTCAACCATACTCAGTGTTTAAGCATAACTTTAATCTCGCCAATATATTAAACAAGTCAGGGATGAATAACTCTTGTCAGTGCGTATGCCATAACTCAATGTGCTTTTAAAGGGACTGTAAACATAATTTTAAGTAAGGCATTTTAATCTAAGAGTTGCCATGGTCGAGGACGGGGTGGTTGCTCCCAGGGGTTTGGAGTAAAATGTTAAAATTTATCCGACCTTTTATGGAAAGTCCTTTAAAATCGAAAATTGAAAAAATGGCTCTGTTACCCCATTTTACTGTCTTTGTTCAGATATTTGCAGGGGAAAAAATCACAAATTTCAGTCCAAGTAGCCTTTGGCGATCAGATAGTTTTTACACGCCAAACTGACGACATTTGTTTTAGCTTTTGCATTAAAGATTATTGGTTTATGTAAAAAAAAATTTTTTTAGCTAAATATACATAAAGGTTATATTTGAGCTGGTCCAATGTATCTCAACATCTTCATAAATTATCTTATTCCAAATTTTTTAAGGAAAAAATCCAATTTTTCGCGCCATTTAAAAATGCTTTTTACTCAACATTCAAGAAAATAAAAATTGTTCTTTGTTATATTTATAGCCTTCTATATGGCTCGCACTATACCAAAATTCATCAAATTATCATGATATCTGAGGAAACCTATGTTTTGTCTTTTTACTCCAAACTCTGGGAGCAATTCCAAAACACTGATAGTAGCCATCCCTCTCTTGCTGGTCAGCGGTCAGGGATAAATCTTTCTTTGTCGTGCTGTAAATTTTTTTAAAAGTGGTTTTTCTTTTACAATTGGACTTTCGGATATATGCTTTAGAGACCAAATAGAAAAAACGTATAGGCTTTAACTTTATAAGCAGCAAAAAAGTAGCAAGCGCCCAAAGTTTCTCTAAAAGATGTAACCTATAACCTTGCTTCATTCATGAAATTAAAGAATATGAAGATTTACCCTATCTATTGATTGGATCTATCTGTATATATATATATCTATCTGGGATGGGTTGTATCTAGATTGGATCTATATCTCAACTAAATATATATCTATCAAGGATGGATAGGATCTATATCTATCTATAACACTCTCCACTAAACGCTACTATATCTTTAGTCAGTGTACTGCAGATTACTGCAGTACACACCTAAAGCTTAGTTGTGAGTGATATATATCTCTCCAGGATGGATTGGATCTACATCTATCTATATATCTATCTAGGATGGATAGGATCTATATCTATCTGTATATCTATCTATATATCTATCTATACATCTCTCCAGGATGGATTGGATCTATATCTATCCATATATCTATCTATACATCTCTCCAGAATGAATTGGATCTATATCTATCTATATATCTATCTAGGATGGATTGGATCTATATCTATCTGTGTGTCTCTTCTTCTCTCTCCAGTAACAGTTGCAACCTGTAGGCTCAAATCTACAAGGTAAGTAAAACAAATTTTTACAAGAATTGCAATAATACTTAAACCTCAAATTGCTGAACAAATGAGTCTTATTCTATGTAATGGGGGTATAGTAGCCCCCCCCCCCCCCGGAAAATGTATTTAAGACAAAGATTGTGATATGCGTATAATCAAATTTCAAAACTGCAGCAAGTCTTTTTGAATTAAACCAAAACGTTCATATGCCATAGGTTTTGGAAATTTTTGATAAAATAAGTTTTTAAAAATTGTGCCGCATTCTCTAGTACTTTTTTGTATTTCCTTTTTTTCCTGTAGTAAATGAGAATGTAGTATTGTGGAGAAATTTGACTTTTAAAATCTTATATTTGGCTGGTTACGTTTTGAGAATTGATTTTTTTTAAATTATTAAATCACAACGACAAAAAATGTAACAAAAAATCTACAGTAAACTAATAAGTTGTTTAGGAACAGGTTGACAAAATAAAAATGAACTCTTATCATTGAAAATAACTAATCTTATTAAATTATTAGTTTCTGTAATCTTTCATTGTTCACAAACATTTTCTAAAGATTTTCTGGAATTTTTATTGAAAAGACGACATTTGAAGAATTTGTAGAAATCTGCTAACAAATTTGTAAAGAATAAGAAATTCAATATAATGATGAAAACGAAATAATTGATTCTAACATTGATTTATTGACAAATTTCTATTGAGAAATATGTTCCTAAACATCTAATTAGTTTACTGTAGATTTTTTGATACATTTTCGTCATCGTTATTTAATAATTTAAAAGATCGATTCTCAAAACGTAACCACCCAAATGGATTATCTTGAACGTCGACTTTGAGATCAATCAAACTCAGCAATTATGCATCATTAAAATGTTTCATATGTCTCAAATGAATCCTAAAAAAAATTCTTCACAATACTACATTCTCAGCTCACCTACCATACATTGCCGGTCACTCCCTTTGAAGCAAAAATATTTATTATTAAAACAACATAGGGTACAGCACTTTTTTAACAACATAGGGTACACCACTTTTTAAACAACATAGGGTACAGATTTATTATTTATAAATAAATTTTATATTTTCATAAATTGGCAAATATTCTGGGAGCATGTTTATACCGCATATGTTCTTCTAGTTTAAAGGAATAGTTTCAATGTTTGATGGTTTGATGGTGGTGTAAACTTATCATTCAAGAGTTTACTGCAGAGGTTATAGTTCACAGTAATCTAAAGGTTATAAGCTTTCCAGAAAAATTATTGAGAATTTTGCCAACTACTTTATAAAAAACTAAAACTAAGATATCTAAATGTCTACCAAACAGTATAAGTAAAAGAAAATGTAAAGGCGTTGCGACGGTCAACCTAATCATGAACATTTTGTATAGCTGTCTGGATCTATGTGAGTTAAAGACAGAAATAGAACAGGGCAAGCTAGTTATTTTCAATCCGTTTGTATTCGACAGTATTCTTGATCAAATATGAATTAAATATCAATGTTTTTGTTTCTTAAAACAGTTTATTTTTAATTGTAGTTTCTTTGCGAAAAAGACAATTATTGCGCATTTCCTGTTTATAAGAAGCAATCGAGAAACTCAAAAAGATTAAATCCGTTAAAATTTCTGAAAAATTCAAAAAATAACTGAGTTAAATTTTTTTTAAAAAACCTCCTAAAAACGAGTATTTTTAGACAGTTTTTTGGGCCTAACTCATTTCTTCAAATTATTTTTTCAAAGATTTCAACGGAAGTAAGCTCCCTGATTAAAAACGAAGAAAAAGATTTATAACATTATAACTTCAAAACTTTTATCGAAAATCTTTTTTTGGCAGTTTTAAAAACTTATTTGGAGGCGATTATCAAATAGAATTTAAGAGTTGTCGACCTAAAAGTTTCAGGAATTACGTAGTGCAATTTGAAAAGTTACAGCTCTCAACGCGCGCGCCATTTTTTTATTAGTTATCATTTGTGGACACCTTAATGGGCAAAAATGAGAGAGATATCATTGTTTTTCTATCTGGAAAAGTGTTAAATTCTAACAATTTCATTATTTACTATTTTTAAGTTACTTTTAAAGTAAATCCACCTTTGAAAATGTTCAATTTTTGCTCCGACGAAACTGGCTTAAAAGGGTCTGTCGTGAATCGCATATGCCACTCTATCCATGGAGTAATCTGGGGGGGGGAGGGTGACTGTGAATTGCATGTTGAGTACTTTCAGCAAGCTAACCTTTTAATTGCAAATAAAATGTTACACCTTGTTCAGGCTAATTTATTGTTCCTTATTTCTAACAATTGCTTAATTAATGGCTGTTAAGGGTCGTAACAAGTGTAGTGGAACACAAAAGGGGTTAAATTCTTGGCTGGGGGGGGGGAGTTTTTTATACTTTTGGTTTAGATATCTGCTAATTCAAAAGTGATAATATGTGGATTTTGTGAAATAATATAAAAGAAATATGTTAAATTGGTGGAATCATTGAGATCAGTTGATTTTGCAAAATTGTCAGAATTTGTAATCCCTATATCTTTGAACCCCAATGTTGTAGAGTGTAGACCTTAAATATTTCAAACTATGAATCCTATTAGATCAAATAATCTAAGTTTGATATATTAAAGGTCTACTCCATCAGGTAGCAAAGATATAGTAGTTTGACCATTTTAGTTTGCTGCAATTTCTTGGAATATTTTTGGAATAAGTGGAATTTCTGAATTTTCTAAAAGAAATCAAGGAATTAATGGATTAGGTAGAATAAATTAAATAACTGTTATATGTAAACGTCTTTATCTTGTTGATCAGTTGTAATTGTTACGTTTAGCTAAAAAGTGTTGATGATGTTTATCTGTATTGGGTTTACTCCTATACAGAGTATGAAAACGTGAGATCGTGGGTCCATTACTCGCAGAAATAATGTAGTTTTTACAATTCGTTATAGACACATCTCATCCTGTATACATCTTGATAGATTGAAGCTATGGAGAAAGGGGGGGGGAGGGGTTAACTGGGGGGAAAGTCCCAGGAATAAAAAAAACCAAAGACTTTATTTCCAGTGACTTTCGAAAGGGTCAGTATTTTATTTCGCAAAGGAACTGTAAGGGTATTTTAAAGCGACATTTGGAAAAAGGAAAATGGCCGCTTTACAACGGTTCACCCTTTAAACAATTGACTAATTATCGAGGGCAGAGAACTCTGTGGGTTTATCTTAAAAATGGTGATCGAATTGCCGGAAAAGTGTACACTTGCAGTGTGAACTCAACGCAGTCATCCTTAATCAGTCAAAAGGTTTAAAGTGTACTCTTGTGAATCGAAAACGCCACTGTTCATTTCTATTGAAACTAGAAATTCAAGGCGCTTCGCGCCCTTCTTTCTAGTCTTAGAGGGCGCTTCGCACCCATCTTCTAAATTAGTTGTGAACATATGTTCTCTTTGTGTACATCGTAAAACAAAACAAAAATAATTCGCGGATTTTCACAAAAAGTTTCGCGGATTTTCAAAATTTTTAAAAATTTAATGACGATCGAATTTTGATGGAGACAAATATTTGAAATTTTGATTTTTCATAAACCTTCCCTGGGGTCCCTAGATGTCCTACAAAAAATTTGGGCCCGATCGGTTCAGCCGTTTTGACGTTTATTGGATACAAACAAACAAACAGACAAACAGACAGACAGACAGACAAGCCAAATTTATATATAGATTACTTTTGAGTATCTTATAGCCCTTTTACATAACATTTTAACTACGTAAAAATTAAAAAACTTTAATGTATATTTTTTTAGGATAAAAACAAAGCTCTGGAGGAAAAGTTGCCATTTTTTGATTTTTCTTCACTTCGTTCCAGAACCTTCCAGATTATTCTACTTTCTACATCCATATCTTCATTTGGAATATTTACTCCATTCATTCTATTGGTGAGTATAAATTCATTCTACTTTCTACATCTATATCTTTATTTGGAATATTCACTCCATTCATTCTATTGGTGAGTATATATTCTTTCTACTTTCTACATCTATATCTTCATTTGGAATATTCACTTCATTCATTCTATTGGTGAGTATAAATTCATTCTACTTTCTACATTTATATATTCATTTGGAATATTCACTCCATTCATTCTATTGGTGAGTATATATTCATTCTACTTTCTACATCTATATATTCATTGGAATATTCACTTCGCTCATTCTATTGGTGAGTATATATTCATTCTACTTTCTATATCTATATCTTCATTTAAAATATTCACTCCATTCATTCTACTGGTGAGTACTTATTCATTCATGCATTCATTTATTCTATTGGTTAGTATATATACATCCTTTCATTCTATTGTTGAGTACTAAGTATGTATTCATTATATTAGTGAGCATATATTGATTTATTCATTCTATTAGTGGGTATGTATTCATTTATTCATTTTATTAGGAAGCATATATTCAGTTATTCATTCTATTGGTGAGTATATATTTATTTATTCATTCTATTAGTGAGTATATTTTCATGCATTCATTCTATTGGTGAGTACTAAGTATATATTCATTCAAATGGTGAGTATATATTCATTCATTCATTAACCATTGTTGAGTTTACATTGATCCTTTCTATTGGTGAAATTATATTTATCTCATTCATTTTGCGAGTAGACATTTATTTAGTTCATTTGAGATTTCCTATTTTAAAGTTCTTTTTGTTTTCCTTCAATAAGTAAATAAAGTTAATGGTTGGTCTGCGCTGAAATATTTAGTCGGGAGTAAATAAGAATTTAGTTAGAAGAGACAAACTTAGAAACTTACAAACCTCTTTCTTGATCAAAGTCAGGGTTTCCATTCTGATTTTGAAATGCTTTAATGTAATTGCAGGCTAGTGTTCTATATTTGTTTTGGTGAAACATGCTAAATTCCCACCATTAAAAAATAGACAAATTATTTGAACTGATTTAGATTAGCTAGATGTCCATTCAAAAGTTTTAAACTCTGAATCTCCATATTTTGATAATGTAATAATCAGGTTTACCACGTGGAAGACAAGAGATTAGAGATTGCGGCATTCTCTGCAGTACAAACTCATCTCGGCTCCTCCTGGATTCTAGGAGTCCTTATTTTTGGTTTTATTATGCTTTGCTCTTCCAGGTAAACAGCTGAAATAAAATCAAATAAAAAATATTAAATAAAAAAATTTTCCGATTCTTTAAATAAAAAATTACAGTTAATTGAAACAATCCAAATGATATATTAAAGACATTACACAGTGGTCAGCGAATATATCAATACACTGAAGACGACTTTTTATTAATTATGCTTTGATCACTAAGAAGCATATTTCATTTTAGAAGTAAGCAAAGAGAAGCTGTCGATGAACAACATCTCTTTGTTTGAAAAATTGGTAGAAATCAAAATTGAAATAAAAATTTGTCTTTATTATTTTGATATTTATGCAACGATGACCTCATGTATATATTTGTCAGGGAGTGTCACATTGGAAGACAGTATTTGTGCCAGGCATGAGTTTATAATCGAAACATACAAAACAAAATGATGGTGAAAAATAACACAATGTTTTTAAACAGAGCTATACTTTCCTTGGCAATTTATCCCCCCCCCCTTATACAGTCATAACCAGAAAACTCTGGAATAGTATTAGACAACTTTGACAATCTAGTTGTAATCATGAAACACAGCAATTGTACAGAGTAAACAGACCCATTTCACACAAAAATAATTTTATAAGTGTCTGGTAAAACAATCAAATACATTTGAGTAAGGCTGTAATGTCGTCTTCCTATTCCAATGTTTTCTGGTTATCACTGTACACTAAACTTACACTCTAAAGGCTTATATTAAACAAATTGAAATGATTTTTAAATGAATTTTTTTTTCTCTTTTTCGAAATTGTTGGAACCTTTTATTAAAAAGAAAGTATTTTTAAACTTATGACTTGGGGAAGTCGCTGAACATCCCACTGCCGGTTCAAATTCTGAATCACTGATTAAAATTCTATGAATCGTTAACAATGGATCGGTGACTCAGGATTTGAACCAGTAGTTCAGTGACCTCTCTCAAATTCATTAAAGGGTCACTTGAAATTTGGCATACACTCCCTTTAAATGATAAACTCCTGGCTCTAGCTGGGTATGTTGGTGTCTGGAATCTCAATACTAGTGTTCGCCTCCTTGAAGGGGGAGCAGGGGTTCCTCCCTTGTATCTGGGTCTTTGGAGTATTCTCCGGAGGTTACCATTACTCCCTCAAGATGTATGTTTTCGAGAAGGTTCGAGCAAGGAACTTTGCTCGGGCCTGGGGATTTCTGCAAGCCTCACAGGAACAAATGATAATTTCAAAAGTAACCAATATTATAACTATCTGAACAGTTGGGTCTATAAACCATTATTATAACTATCTGAACAGTTGGGCCTATAGAGCTGTGGAAATGGATGAAGAAGGGTGTAATCTGCCCCATTTCACCTAAAGGGAAAGTTAGCCAACTTTCAAGTCACATCCCTGATTCACAACAGTACTCTTTAAAGGGACTGTAAAGGAAAAATGAAAGGGGGTATAGGCTGAAACCTGAGAATCTTAGGCGTTGAACGCGACCTATTAGACATCTTATCTGATGTTCCTGTCTCAAGAAATTGACATAACACTGTGTCAAAATTATACCAAAACGTATATATGTTAGATTAACGTTCGTATCACGTGACCAGAACTCCCTCCAATGGCAGTGCAGTATACTGGTCACGTGATACAGACGTAGACATGTTACAATAATACCGTACTGTCATTGGTTGCAGTTATGGTAACATGTTCCGGACGCATAAATAATAATTAATTATATCTATTGAAAATGAAAAATTATTAAATTCTAATAATAATAGGAGCAAACTTGAGTTTCTCAGGCTCCTCTGGGATATCCTTGTTTTCAGATTGGTTGCGTATTTGTTAGATATGATCTGTTTAGTACTACAAATCTTATACAAAATCTTGCATATAAACGTTTTAGTGTAATTTGACACAGTTTTAAATCAATATCTCGAGACAGACAGGAACATCAAATAGAACTCTTATATGTTTCAATCAACTCCTGAGATTCTCAGCCTTCAGCCTATACCCCCGTTCATTTTTCCTTTACAGTCCCTTTAAACGTGTACAATTTTAAAGGATGCCGTTAGTAAATTGAGGATGTCTATCTTTAAATCGAAGGCCACTAGAAATTAGGCTTACAGCCCCTTTAATCAGCATTAATATCCAAAGATTGCTTAATTTCCTGTTCCACAGTTTTTATAGTCCCACTGTGTGTGTAACAAATGTAAATGTTTTTATCATTACAATTATTTTAAAGTCAGTCCCTGTTCTTTTTGGAGTACCTTTAACCCAGTATTTAAACAACGGCTGTGAATCAAGAGCTGGGTTCTACTTCAGCGGTGTCTGTATCTTAACTGGTTTTCTCACCATGTTTCTAATTAACGTTCACAAGAATCAGCTGCGCCGACTTAGGCACAGCAGGCACGTGCAGCGGCATGGTACTTCTGTTAAATCCACGAGTACAAAGGCGAGTGATGACTCATTCCTGACCCCAGGTCCGGATCCGTTGATACGGCGGCTTTCATTTGAGGGGGATGAGGATGATCTTGATATTCTGCCAGCTATGGCGCTACTTCACAACCAGCAGTTTCTACAGGACATCATGGGTAATCTTTTTGCTATTACAATTGTGTCATGACCAATACAAAGAGAAAGGTTCACCCCAAAATATTGTACTATTTATGAAATACGAAAATATAACCAAGCATGAGTAAAGGGATAGGCTGGCTGCCAGTTTTGGTACGAATTAAGGTACAGTTGTGATTCGGAAACTCCATTCTAAGAAATGCAGTGGGTCACATAAAGTTATAACTGTAATGTATGAACTAGACTATTTTTTTACATTTTGTGCCTAAACGTAAGAAAATTTGTGCCTAAATGTAAGGAAAACACATAACTAACAGTAGGAACTGGACTATTTTTTTTACATTTGTTTATAAAAGTAAGGAAATGTTGTGCCTAAACGTCAGGAAAACATATAACTAACTGTAGGAACTAGACTATTTTTTTACATTTAGTGCCTAAACGTAAGGAAATTTGTGCCTAAACGCAAGGAAATTTGTGGCTAAATGTAAGTAGATTTGTGCCTAAATGTAAGGATAACACATGTCTAACTTTAGGAGCTAGACTAAAGGGTGAACCTAAAAAAACCACACATAATACAAATTCTTCTCTAATTTTTTTATGCATTATGATTCAAACAGTTTTATTGGATATATTTTGGTTGTTACACATATATTTGAGTATTTGGAAACTTTTAGTAGTCTTCCTTCTGGATTTGACGGCCATCTTTGTCTATATCAACTTGTAGTCGGTGGGGCAGAGATGCCATCAAATGTCTACATAGAGCCTTATCATCGTCAATCTCTCTCCATGCTGCAATGATGGCTTTCTTCAGCTGTTGGTCATTAGAGCATTCTTTTTTCAGCAACCTTTCCCTTAAGACTACTCCAAACATTTTCTATTGGCCATAAGTAGTGATTTTGGCACTGAAATCAGTATTGATGATCTTTCCCCACTTTCTGTCATTCCTCACTCTTCTCCAATAAACACTAAGGAACACTCCACACGCCGCTCTTTATGCTCATCTGACATTTTCTGAACCTTATACTTGTGGTATGCCTTATATCCATATTTTTTCATGATTCTTACAACTAATGGGTTCCTTATTGTTCATCAGTCTCTTGACCTGGGCAATCTTTCTTCCTGGAACAGAGGGTCGTCCGTTCCCCTTTAGGTGATCAGCATAGAACCCATGCATTGCAAACTTCTTCTTCTGGTAGACAACAAAGCTTCTCAGGTTTTCTTTTTTGAGAGTGTCAGGACCCGGAACTGGACCAATATACAGCCACTTTATTATTTTACCATCACTGGCATGTGGCATTTTCTGGAGATAGGTGTCTATCTGTGATTTCAAGATGAATTTAAGCTTTTTATCCATTTTTTCTTGGTAGATCCACTATCAACTAATCCTAAAATAATAGTTTTGCGGATTTTCATCAATTATTATATGGATTTTCTTAGTAGTAATCCAAAAAATCCGTTTTGTGTGGTTTTTTTAGGTTCACCCTTTATTTTTTACATTTGTTTATAAAAGTAAAGAAATTTGTGCCTAAACGTTAGGAAGTTTGTGCCTAAACGTTAGGAAATTTGTGCCTAAACGTTAGGAAAACACATAACGAACTGTAGGAAGAACTAGACTATTTTTTTACATTTTTGGTAAAAAAAGAATAAAGAAACTGAACACTTCTAATTTTCTATATATCGATTGCTAGTTGTCGGACAAACAACATATTTTAAACAGATCTGAATTCTGTTAGATCAGAAAGTTTAAGATTTACACCATCATTCAGGGATAAAATATTAAAGTTTGTGTTTTGAGATCCTTTTTGTCCCCCCCCCCCTCACTCTTCATCAAAACACACTTATTCGTGAATAATAGTTTATATATATATTAGTGTACATATAAAGGGACTATTCGTGAATATTAGTGTACATATAAAGGAACAATAGGCGTAATCTTATGTGATCCTCCATCTACATAGATTTGAATTTCCGATCCGTAACATTTAAACCTTTATCTGATCAAGTATGAATGATATATCCCTCTTTTTCACTTGATTATTTTCTGTCGTGGTTCTGTAAAAGTTATATATATATATATATGCTACGGAACCAATGATTCCTCGTAAGTATACCTACAGTCCCTTTAAAATAAAAATCCAGGGTTTGAACGTGATTTTAAGCTGTTAACTAAAGGGTTAAAGGAAATTGAGTAGTGCTACACGACCACTTAAACATACCCATTGTTAAACTAAAATATATGGCTGGTTTGTGTGTCTGTACAGTTCACTGTCTGTCTGTTAGTATTGTCTGAGAGTAAAGAATCGTGCACTGTGTTTTGGTTTATGCTAAGGGCTGTGTTTAGAGGGTTTGAGGCTGAATTCTTGAATGTATAAAATGGGTTTATATGGCTGGGTATTCTAGGGTATTCTGCTGCTAAACATCTCAGATTTAAACCCAAGATAAAATATTCAAAATCAAGTCATTTTACAAGTTGAGAAGACGGAGTGTCAAAAAAGGTTTAATCTGTCAAAAAAGTGTTGCTTAAATTAATCTCAAATTTTATGAATTGTTAACTTTTGATATTTCAATTCTATTCCTGAAATATATTTTTAAAGATTTTTACAGGAACTTTTCTAGAAATTAGTATAATCGCCCGGGGTTTGTGCAATCTACACCTTAACAAAAAAATCAAAAATTGTGTGTAACACCTATTTTTCTTGGACATTCAAAGGAGTTGAGTCTTTGCCATAAACTGTAATTTTTTAATCTTTGCAACCTGATGGTGTAAACCTGTGACATTTTAAAAAAAATTATTTAATCCAACATAATTCAAAGTTTAAAATATCTTTAGTCCTCGACATCGGGTTGCAAACATGTAGAGAATAAAAAAGTCTTAATACCTTTGAAACTCATTAATTTAACAAATAAAAATGGAACGAGCCAGAGCGCAAAAAAACTACTTAAAAGCCTTTATAAAGTTTAAAGCAGTTGTTTGAACTGTTATCCGGCCTTAGCTCAATCAACTTTTGATATTTTACTGGGCTTTGAATCTGAGTTTAGAATAAATTCCATTATTCGCTTTTACACTGGAACCCGCATTAAACTCACCATGAGAAACTGTCTGATAAAAAGCCAAGAATTATTATTCATTCTCAAACTGAGGAAAGTTGAAGATCATTTTAAGTTACCTTTTTTAGTCCCTTTAGTCATGCCTTTTATTTCATGCTAGTGTGTTTGACAGTATGTCAGTATGCATGGGATATATAAGATATGTAATTGTATCTTTTAATGAAAAACACAAGTCTGCATTGTTTTAGAGAAAACTTAATTGTACTTTTTTGTCCGCATATTTAAAGTATGTACATTGTACATTATTAAAGGGTTAAAGTGTCAAATTGTTTATATTGCAAAAACTTTTTTGTGGGACACCATGTTCTAGATTTAGATATATGACACTCATCATCTTTGCAACCCAAGCTTTTCTAGTCCCATTTATTCTGTATTATCTGACAACCATCCCTCCCCCCCCTTGAAATACCCACCCTCCACACACACACACCGTTCCGACTTATCTGAATTCGTACCGACATTTTTTCTTTCTTAGTACAATAATAAGTTAGTCTTATACAAAACTCATACCAAAATTTTGAGGTATAAAAAATGTTTCTTGCAGATAAA